CTATTCTTAATTATTCAAATAATTTAATATAATCTAGTTTTTATAATGATTTACAATAATGTGATGTTGTCGTGGTAATATACCACTGTTTCATAGATATAATTTTTTGTAAAATTATATTTTCACATGAAACAACATATTTATATATAAACATTTACAAAGAAAAAAAAGTCAAAACTAAAACATAACCTAGTCTGTTCTCATTGCCTCCTTTTTATTTTGTTTCATAGTGAAACAGAACGAACATGATGAGAATAGTAATGATCTGAATAGATGACTTTTTTTTTCCTCATCAATATAAAACGAAATAAAAAGAAGAAAAAGAACGAATTAGTCGATGTTTTAGTTCTGCTTTTTTTGTAAATGTGAATGTATATGTAAATGTTTTCTTCTTCATGTGAAAGCGTACATTTGTAAGTCGTAAAAAAATGAACTTTTTTGTAAAATGATGTCCGAAGCAGTTGTAGACTACAACGATAATGCCACATTATTCTAAATAATTATAGTAACTAGACTATTTTAAATTAATTAGTTCAATCATTCAGAGGAAAAGTTCAAAATGTTTAGACAGCTACGAAGTACAAACCAACGTTATTAGAACGTGTACTATATAGAAAATTTCAATTTCACACATGTACATCTACGACAAATATTATTATAGTTTGTTTCGCTGATTAAAAAAAAAAAGTTTCAATTTTCTAACTCATTTCAATCCTTATGATTTATTCCTTAATATTGAATCTTTTCTCTATCATATCTGATCATTAGTGACCTCTACAAATGAATTTATTTTTACAAATTATTTGCACTATTAAAATTTATTTAATATATGATGTATTTTTCCCAGTGAATTTATATGTATTGTTGTTCTTTTTTGCTTGGTTAAATATCCAATATTATCCATAGTCTATACGTAACTGACGCCCTATTTACTCATCTACGGTCAACTTAATCACTTACTCGGACATTTGCATTTGTATAATTATTTTTTTCATTCATTGAAATGTGTTACATCTTTGAACTATTAAAATTCTATGTCCTTTATAGATTTGATCATCTAAGAAGAAGTATTTAACAATGGCCAACAATTCTGATGAAATGCGTCAATATCGTGAAGCTTTTTCACTTTTTGATAAAGATCATGACGATATAATTGCACCACAAGAACTCGGTAATTATAATTTTATTTAATAGAAAAAAATCATAGTTTCTTTTTTCTAATATATTAATTAAGGTATTGTTCTTCGTTCATGTGGTTTATCACCATCAGAAGCTGATTTACAAAAAATTCAACAACAAGTTGGTCGAAAAATAGATTTCGATACATTTGTTCGAGTTGCACAAAATTTTAAAACAAATAATAGTGAAACAGAAGATGATATACGTGAAGCATTTCGTGTATTTGATAAAGATGGAACTGGTTATGTAAGTGTTGCTGAACTTAAACATGCTATGATATCATTAGGTGAAAGACTTACTGAAGAAGAAGTTGATGAATTAACACGTGAAGCTGATATTGATGCTGATGGAAGGTAATAAAAATTAGAAATTTTATTTTAATCATAAAAAGTTTTTTTTTGTTGTTGTTCATATAGATGTAATTGTGAAGATCTGGTACGAATTTTAACAAATAAGCAACGTTAATATTTGTCTTACTTTCAAAAAAAAAACAAATCAATAAAAATGTACATTCCGTCTGATTGCTTTTTCTGTTGTCTAATCTCTATAATTCATACATTCCTTTTTTTTTCTTTTGTCTCATAATATTCTCAGCAATATGAATAACTGTTGTGTTACAAGTTATTTGTAATTTATTCTTCAATTTAGTTATAATATCTATATTTACATCTAAATGACATAAAAAATTGTCGATAAAACAAACAATTTTATTTATGACCTTGTCTCAATGAAAATATAATACGAATAGTTACGTTGAAGAATGTAGTAAGATGATATAGTTTTATTATAGTTTATTGCATTTATAGTTTTGAAATGATGGATTTATCAATGTCTAATTTTTGATAGAGAAATTCCATATTGATAACGAGTTTTGTTTTTGATGTTTGCTTTATTTATAAAATTATTATTATTATTGATATTTCTGTATAACAAGAACTACGGATTTAAATGAAGTAGTAATGCATAAAGTCAATGTTTTGATTTATTTAAATACATGTTTAATTTTATTACGAGAAAGACTTACAGCAAAATTTTAAATAGAGAATCGATTGAAAATATTAATAAAAACAAGAAAATAAATAAAGAATTTGTCAGTGTGTTATAAACGATGCTGAAAAAATATTGAATAAATTATAATTTCAATATAATAGACTAGAATAATTTTCAAAAGATGTTGCCAATACTGAAGAAAACAATTAGATTATAATTGTAATCTCAAAAGTAAATTTCTCATTCGGATTGATACAATCTATTGTTAAGATAACTAAATAAATTGATTGCACTCTGTATTTTTCAATGTCATATACCACAAAATTATTCATACATGTTGAATGTATGAAAATTTAAACATTTCTCTAGTGTATTTGATAAGATTAAACTCTTTATCGATATTGCAAGAGACAGATCAAATTTTTTTCATGGTATACAAATACGACTAATTCTTGTCGGCTGTCGAATGATTTATAAAAACTTTTTTTTCAACAATTACATACATAAAGACATGTTCTGAAAATTATTAAAACATTGCAGAGAGTTAATTCTTGTCTTGACATGTTTCCATGCTATGATAAATTACCTTTCATATCCTCCTTGTTTGATTCAATAATCCTGAATGAGAGAAACATCTTTTTATTATTTTCACATAGACTAGTACTTTTGTTTTTGAATTCATATGTGAATCGACATATGTAACGCTCTAAGTTGACAAAGCACGATACTAAACAGCCGTATAAAACGATTTATATCGGCAAATGTTCGTCATGTGCTACGAACACAGCGTCATATATTCTAATAGGATTCAAGTATATACACTCATATATAGGCATGATTTATCGAGCATTGCTTTTATCTTATCAATTCAGCAGCCAATTCAAAGGTTAGTATTTATTTAAAAAAAAAAAAAAGATTTATATTTGTTGTACTTATCAGATGTTAAGAGAAAAGATGAATGCAAATAGAAAGCTGTCTGTCATCTCATTGTGAAGAAGTTTGTATGACGACAATGATCTATGGTGTCGTATACAACATAATGATTTATGGTGGTAATTCCGAAGTCAATAGTACGACGAAAACAGTAGTATTTTCGAATGTTTAAGATCATAGATGATCGTAATCGTACTCTCCGGGTGCTCATTCATAAACGTAATATGAGATGTTAAGAATCATAATTTTATTATTTGAACTATGGTATATTATAATTTATTTAATCTTTAGATTTGAATTGATCACTTTTTTCGAAGCACGGCTATCTACTAAGAAGATTGAAGATTATTACATTGTTGTTAAATATTTCATCTTTTTTTAAATATTTCTATTATAATTTTTACTGAATCAATGTGTTGACAAAAGAAAAGTAAAAATATATTTTTTTTTTATTTTGACAATTACATCTGTCGACGTCAATCATTGATACAGTTTTAAAGTTCTTGTTTGTTCTGAATGTTCTTGTTCTAGTACTTTGACAATAAAATCATATCATTAATAGTAGTATTTATTGAGTTGTATAGTAACTTATATCGACAGAATATGTAGGATTTAATGTTTTCAAACTGGCTCGTAAACAAGATGATATTAATTAGAAAGCGGAAAATACTACTTGGATGTAATGTGATAAGAGATGTTGTCACGTACATAGATAAATAATTAATCAATAGACAAGAAATAAAAGCTACTTGGATTAGATTAATTTTCTATCTTCGAATAATATTTTTAAGTCTTATTTACTTTCAATATAGTTACATAAAATTGTATTTTTTCGTATAGAATCTAGAGTTTTGATTTATAAAAATCATTGCCCGACATTAAAGTACATTTTTTCAACATAAAAAGAAAAACTTTGATCAGTAATATTTATTCATTCATTCTACATCTTAGTTGATCAACGCTGCTGCTTTAGCACGACATATCTACTTATAAAAACACTTTTTTCTTTCTTTTTAAAATGACATCATCATTAGGTAAAGATAGAGTAGTACCTGATGTAGAGTTTTAATTGAGTTTTAGCAAACTTTAGAATAAGTCTACGTATTTTCAAGCATTGTGTACATTCAGATCTTTAAAATTGTCTATCAATTATGTAAATGATCGAATACTTTTCTGGTTTGCTTGATAATATTATGGTAAATAGATTCTATGACATAAATTCTTTCTTCTCTGTTTGATGGTCTGATTGCATATTGACAAATTATGATGTACCAATAATTCATTGTTTCCGTTTTTAGACATGTCATCAACTTGTGCATATTATTTTAATCCAACTACGTCATTAATGTACTGTGCGCTGAAAATAACAATCATAATCATCCCACTCGTGATTTATAGGAAGATATTATACTCTTGTTATTGTTGTTTTTGCAGAATAAAATGTTAAATAAAGAAAAAAAAAAAAACTGACGACAACATTACGTCTTTTTTCTTCTCTTCGAATTTCTTTCTTGTAGTATGTTGCTTTTATAAATAAGGAATATCATAGACATACATACATACTCAGCAGGGAAACCGAACGAACAAATAAGACAAAGACGATGTTATTCATCTACGACACCTACATTGTTTAAAGAAGCAGATTTGTCTCTAATCCATTTTATTCTTTTTTTTTTCTTTTACATAAATAATAACTCCATTCTCGAACTTCTATTATTATTCTTTCGAGAAGTTCACTTTATAATGACATTCTGTTTTTTCTCATATATATATCTTGAATAAATTTTTTTCTTTGTTGCATTCACTTTGTTTTTCTTTTCTTTTGTTATACGAATGAATTAGTTAAACAAAATTCAAACGACAGAAATACAACAACAATAAATACAATTATTATTATTATGCGTCGTCATTCATTAGAACATGATAGCTTAGGACAACAAATTAAATCGGTATTCACTTCACCTACACGAAAATTTCTTAATTTCAAAAACAATAGTGACAATTCTAATAGTAATCTTCATTCTAATCGACAAACACGACGTGTTAGTGTACCAGAACACAAATATTCAGATAAACTCGACAATTATACTGAACTTGATACTATTGATGAAGTAAGTGTACAAATATGTATATAAATATAGATATTAATGTTTGTTGTACCGCTATATTTGCAAGTTGTCACGAGTGTGCGCAATTAAGTGATGAAAAAAGAGTCATTTAGTACCCAGGTAATGACTAGTGACAATCACAAGAAAAAAGAAATGAAAAAGAAAAATAACACCAGCTGCGCAAAACCCCCTCGATAACTGTGGATGCGCGCAGAAAAGATCAAAAAAAAGGTATTATATCGAAGTCAAAGTTATGTGGGCTTTTGTTTTCAATCTGTTACAAATATGACAAAACTTTTTTCACACTGTATGATTCTATCATGATGCCTATCAAAATTGTTTCTTATCAAATATTCCCATTGTATCAACATCTAATTCTCTTTTGTTGTTTCCGGTGCAGTATGGTTATATGTAATCAATGTTGATGAGACTGATAAGATGATGAGGCATCAGAGACAAAACAATAGAATGAAAAGGAGTCTTATCCGAAAAAAACAAGTGTTTTGTGTAAATAAATCAATAGATATAGGTTATGACGTCGAAAAAATAATCTGTATTGTGCATATGAAAACTATACGACAGTATTGGTGTTTTTATTAGTGCTGTTGTTACCACCTCACATAATTGTGTTCTTCTTCTTCTTCTGTTTCTTCTTGTTCTTCGTTTTTTTTTTTTTTTAAGATAAAAACAAATAGAACGATAGCTGCGATGACAACGACGCCAGCAGGCAACGTTTCTCGTTTTATTAAGTGACTGAAAGAAGTAGTTGTTGCGCGTGAAAAACGAGAGAAAAAGGAGAATAAGGTGTAAGTGCTACAGTATAAAAGGCGCACAATCGATGTGGGTTTCTGTGCACATGTTTAGGGCTCTGTGAACTACTTATTTTGTTTTTGAAATCAATCAGTTTTTCTTATTCGACCAAGATCGGTGCAGGTTTTTTTATCAATGACATGTGATAAACGTTCTACTTTGTCTCCAGTATTAAATACTTTTAATTTTCCAGTAAATGGTCGACCGCGTCTATTTTCAACACCTGAAAAACAAGATCTTGAAACAATATATGAGGTAAACTCATAAATTAATGTCAAAAAAAATTATTCTCATTTGATAAGATTTTTTTTCTCGAAATTCTATTGCTTGCTTGCATGCTTGCTCGCTCTTTTTTTGATCAAATGCTCACTTAAGTGAAAATATACATAAAACATCAAGAAAAAAAGTATATAAATCAAAAGGTCAACGCAGACGAAGCAGATTGTGTATGTATGTCTTGTTGTCAATAACTTGTTTATGTATTTTTAAGTACATTCAAAAGTTTTATGAAACTTTTTATAATTCAACTACTGACAAATACTTAATTCTTTTTTTTGTTTTTCATTAAATTATGTCATTCAATATTTTTGTGATTATAGTCATCTGATCAATATGTGTATTTAGTTATTATTTTATCATTAGTACAAAAGAGATGAAAAACAACAGTACATAGCGATGAAATTATGTGAAAAAATAAAGTCTTTATATTTTTAAGGTATATTTAACGAATGACTTTTTAGTTACGAAGTATAAATTTAATCCATTTTTATTATGATTTAGGTTTACTAACGAGAAGAAGATTGAAATATATTCTTTTCTTTATTTATTCTGCATTATTTTCATAAAAAAAAATATATGTAAAGGGAGTGGTCATTACTTTTGATTTATTTTGTATTATATTACAAAATTTAAAATAAGGATATAACTTTGTGGTTAAAATCAAACTTATCATATCATATGAAACCACAATTTTAATATTTTTTTAATTGAAACCTTACTATATCATTTACTTAGTTGTTAGTTTGGTTTTCACTTCACGAATTTAATATGAAATCGTGGTTATTTGCTTGTGAGATTCTATACATCTAGGCAATTTTTTTTCTTTTTATTTCTCAACATTTTTCGGTTCTATGTAATTTTTATTAATAATATGCAATCTTATTTTATAGATAATTTATTAAACTGAAGGAATGAAAATAGAAATAGTCAGACGAATTATAGAATAATATTTTACTTCCTAAAACGTTTAAATTCTGATAGATGCTACTCTTGATAGTTTTCCAGGCATGACGTATAAATAAAAAAAAAAAAACAAAGACCAAGAATTAATTTTATTTTGAAGGAAAAAAAATATTTCAAGGCTATATGAATAAATTAGATTATGAAATTGAATCATATTTTATTTCTTCTTTCTTCTTGAATACACATTTATAATCAAAACTTTTCTTAATATGAAGTATTTGAATAATTAAATTCATCGAAAAACAAAGGATATTATTTTTATACTAAATTTAAAATAAAAATAATAATTTTTTTTTTCATTCAATTTCGATAAAATCAATCCATAGATTTTTTTTATTATGAAATATCATACAATACTTGCTTGCTTTAATTTATTCTAGTTTATAATAAATGATAACCTTATTTTCTTTCATCTATGCGCGTGATGTGAATAGTGTAGGCGATATATAAAGAAAATATTAATTAATTCGGTTTGTTCTTTGTACCGACTTCTTGACGTCATTTTTATTTGAAATCAGTTGGTAATTATAATGGACTTTTTTAGCATCATTAGCATGACAAATCAATAGTGACACTCATAGTATTCTTGTTATGAATCATGTTTCTCGATTTTTCTCTTTTATTTTCCGCATGATTGATTTTCTATACAGAACCTAATCTTTCTTTCTTTTACTTCTATATAACATCCCATCGGTAAAATAAATAACGTCAATTATTTTTTTTCTGTCAATACCATACTTAAAAGTGTCGTCATTAGTATCTGTTTCTTTTTTTTTGATAGAACATCTTATTTGATTCGTATGCTATTCAAATTTTAGATACGATGCATGTTACTCGAGTGAGTTGTTTTTTTTCTTCATTATCTTTCCTTATTTCTCGTTTTAATTACCCTCGAAACCTAGTAGTTGGAATCTGAAAAAGAAAAAGAAAATGTTATTTTGTCGTCTCCTATATTACACGACAGAAAAACAAGACGCCCATCGATAAATGTAGAAGTATTAAAGGCGAACAAGAAAAAAAAGCGCATCCGGTTTTCTCCCTATTGGGTATACTATTTTCCTACATGTGCTATAGACGATCGCATTCGAGAGAAAAAAAAAACCAAGAAAAAAGACATAAAAGTCTCCTTCTCAATGATATTTTATTGAGCATTTACAATGACTAAATCACAAAAGAATAAGGTTTGTATCTTTCGGGTATGGTTTGATATTTTCGTTTGAAAGTATCGAAATAAAGAACAGCAAATTACGTACTCTATATATATATATCTGAGCGAGTCGTATAGACGAGAAAAAAAAAAAGAAATAAACATAATTGCATAATATTCTTTTTCTTTTTTTTTTCTTGTCGCAAGAGCCGAAACTACATACATAGCGCTGTTTCTCTCCCAAAGAAAGAAAAAAAGCACGAGGCAGTAGCAATACAGTATTTCTATCCAATAAACATAAGTAATATATTCTTTTATCCTCGTTCTACCAAAAGAAAAAAACACTAACGAAATTATAACAATAAATACTCATTCGATACGAACATCGGTATTACTTGATACAGTCAAAGAAATGGTATGTATAGATAAAAGTCAGATAGAAAATAATAAAAAGACATAGATTGATTTTTCTTTCACCACAAAAAAAAATAATAACCACATGTAAACACACATATATACACATAATTTAGAATGAAGCTAATGCTGCAGCTGGTAGTTTTGATCAAACTGATATAGATCGATCACAATCGCCGAGTAAAACAAATACTGATTCAACATCAAAACGAGCTCGATTACAAGCTTTATTGCCTTTACGTAGTAGTGGGAATGATAAAAAATCGAATTTAGTTGGAACTAATTCTATTGGAGTAGTGTCTCATACAACAAATAATACTTCCGGTCCTGGTGGCGGCGCTACTGCTTCTGCTGCTGCTGCTTATACTGAAACAAATAGTGGCTTTGATCAACGAAATGTTGTTGCTTCTCTTGCTCCATATGCAAATACTACTGTGCCTACTACTTCATCAAGATCACCACCTGGAAAATTTAATTTAACAAGTTCTACATCGCCATCATCAATGAAAGAACATGTTAGTCGACGCCCTCGTTCCCATTCAAAAACTGATGCGCAATCAGTACCTGAAAAATCTCTTTTTCAAAAATTATTTGCAAGAAAAACTAAAAAGCCTTTGGGAGCATTAATAACAACAACAACAAAATCAATTGATTTAGATGTAAATAAAAAACGGCAAAATCTTATTACCCAATCATCTTTAGTAAAAGATAACTCACGATCAACCATCAATGAAGAAGAAGAAGAACTTGATGATGATGATCCAAATGCTTCTACTGGTTCTTTGTCAGATACGGATACTCTTGATGAAAAAGATGATGTTATAAATACTAACCTTAGTTCTAGTATAACTCTAACTGGAAGTAGAAAAAATAGTAGTTCTGACAAAAAGTCAACTGCTACTCAAAATTATATGACATTACCGGCATCCGATTCACAATATTATGCATCAATGTCATCGGCACCGACGGGCTTTTCGATTTCTTATCATAAGTGTTTAACAAAAGGTAATGATGATCTTCGAATACAAGCAGCACTCGGTCGACTTCAACAACAAAATAAAAAAGGAACTGCTGCTGGAGCAGATCATTTAATGGTATGCCATCTGTTATGTATTAATACTTATCATATCTGTTTTTTTAGCATGAAATACTTTTTCTCGTTCTTTCTCTTTATTTTTTTGCTCTCTGTGTCCTTCCGTTCAATGTCTCGCATGTGCTTTGCGGAGGTTTATTGTATTCACAGATAGCTGGCATAGATCCAAAAGTGCATCAACATTAGTAAGAAAAAAAAAGAAAAAGATGTTTCGACGATGAGCAAAAAATACCGCTAGCTCGCTTGCTTGCTTTTTTTCTGCATGACATAGTGCTTTCTTTCTTTTGTTCTTTTGTTCTTTTATTCTTTCATTTACATAAACAATATGTGCTTTATTTTTCAATTTTAGTCGCTTTTTCAAGATCCAAATAGAAGTGGTAAGATTATATAAAAGGATTATTCATAGTAATTATGTACTTTTAGGATCACAAAGTCCAACTTCTATGAGTGGTACAACTCGAATTAAGACATTTTCTGGTCAAACAATAATTACTCGAAATAGTTCATCATCAGATCAACCACCAACATATTGTATTCGTCCATCGGTTCGTCTTAACAACAAAAAATATATATTTAATTTATTTTTATGTTTCTTTCTAGTCTGTTTCACCTACTCATGATCCTGATGAAGCATTCAGTAAGAATCTTCAAAATTTATTATTGTATTCTTTTCTATTTTTTTTTTTTTGTTATTAGTAAGTGATGATGAAATTTATACACATTTTATGAAATATAACACATGTTATGATATAATGCCGAAAAGTTCTAAATTAGTTATATTTGATACTCAATTGGCTGTAAAAAAAGCTTTTTTTGCTCTTGTTTATAATGGTGTACGTGCAGCACCATTGTGGGATACAAAACGACAAAAATTTATTGGCTTATTAACAATAACAGATTTTATTCTTATACTGCAAAAATATTATAAAGAACCACATGCTAAAATTGAAGAATTAGAAGAACATAGAATTGAAACATGGAGAGAGGTCTTACGTGAATATGAAAAACCTTTGCTATATATTAGACCAAATGAAAAGTAAAAAGAAGATTTATTTAAAAAACGTACACAGAACCAGAAATTTTTATTACTTTTTTTCCGTTTTAGTTTATTTGACGCAGTACGTATTTTATTGGAAAATCATGTTCATCGATTACCTATTATTGATCCAATAACAAGTAATGTTATATTTATTTTAACCCATAAACGAATATTAAGGTTCTTTTATTTATACGTAAGTAGATTTTTTCTATGGAATGAGATTAGAAAAATTTCTTTTATAGATTTATGATTGGCCACAACCATCATTTATGTCTAAGACATTAGAAGAATTAAAAATCGGAACTTATGATAATTTAATTATAGTATGCTTTATATAAATAATTGATAATTTTGTTTTTTATTGCTAATTTTAGATTGAAGAAACTACAACAGTTATTGAAGCCTTAAATTATTTTGTGAAATATCGTGTATCAGCACTGCCTGTTGTTGATAAAAATCGAAAGTTAGTTAATATTTATTCGAAATTTGATGTTATTGTAAGTTTTAAATATAAAATTATATTTTCCTGTATGATTTTAACTTGTTGTTCTTTTTTAATTAAATAATCTTTAGGGTTTAGCACCAGACAAAAGTTATCGAAATTTAAATATGACAATAAATGAAGCATTGTCATATCGAAAAGAACGTTTTGAAGCTGTTTCTAAATGTTATAAACATGAATTATTATCAACATGTATGGAACGTATTGTTAAAGCTGAAGTACATCGTTTAGTTATTGTTGACAATGATCAACATGTTATTGGTATACTTTCATTATCTGATTTACTTTATTATATAGTTATACGTCCAACTAAATCCGAACATACTACAGCATCAAAAACAGTATCAGTACCACCTACAACTAAATCTAATCGAGAAATAGAATAATTATTTCATTTTTTTTATTTACGGTCACGACCCGGTGATGACAATGCGTAATATTCTATTTTTAATTTATGAAAAAAAAATTGGTTTCTGTAATTTAAAATAATGTATTTTATTATACGTGCCAACAAAAAAGAAAAAAAAAAACAATATTTGACAGGAATATTTTGTTTTTTTGTTGATTGTCTTTCAACCTTGTATAGCGTGCTTGTATGATTTATTCATATCTTTCTCTACTGCAGGTTTTATTAATATGCACCTAACGAAAAAAAAAAAAAAATAACTATTCGTTATCTTTTTTGAAGAATAATAGAATCAATATAGAATATAAATTTCATGAATGCTCAGAAATGAGAATTGAAGATAAAATTGTGTTTTTTTTTTATTGATTTTTATGAAAGTTGACTGGATGATTTATTTCCTTATTTAAATCAAATATTTGAAATGCGCTTGCAAGTTATATTTGACGCATATCAAAAATATTTCTACAATAGATACGTTGAAAAACAATCTATGAAATGACATATTATTAAAGATAAGCATGTCTGAAATGTCAATTTTATGCATCTCATAATATTGAAAAGTACTTTGATACTTTCTTGTACTTTGTATTATTGGAATAAGACTAGATTTAAATGATATAAGACTCGGTCTTATAATGACGAAAATCTATTGTACAGTTTTACGATAAGATTAGTAGAGATTTTGATTTTTTTTATACAATAATCTTTGCAATCATTAAAATCATCCAAAAATTTGCAGAATAATAACTGTTGCCTTCTTAGCTACTAAGATTTGTTGTATGATATGTATGTACGAGTATTTTTTTCTCGTGTTTTGATTCTTACGAAGTTTTCATTCAATGATTATTTTTCTTAAGTTTGAATCCATGGTACAATTTTTTTTATAATAATTCATTTTCAAACCATTGAAGACTTCAATTCAATTCACCAAAGATTCGTATTAAGTAAAAAGTTCTCAATTATATCGTATATATATATTCATATAACCTACCAGCCAGCGTGTGCATTTGTTTGTACTACGACTATTATGTCACAGTGCCCCAAAACATTGAAGATATACCCGCACTAGAGTGTAAGTCAGAGAACAACTGTCAGTATGACGTGGTGGAACGACGATCAAAAAAAAAATAGCGGCGGCGCTACAGGTGACCTGATCTCATTCAAAACACGTTTGAGTCGGATGTGAACTTTTTCTAAATTTTAGTATGCGTTTGACATTTTTTGATAAACATGTGGAACGTTTTTATATAGTATCTACGTGCAAGAGACAGTTCGTTAAACCACTAAGACAAATGTACCAAACAAAGGAAAGATGTCTATAAAAAGTTACTAGGTTTTCCAGTTGTTCACGAATTGAAAAGTACACTTAATGTTTTCAAAGCCGTCATAAAAAGTAGTGTTCGTGTACTTAGGAGTTCATCAATATTCTCAACAATACCGAAAGTGTGATATCAAATCGAAATAGAAATTATTGTACAAATACGATTTTTATTTGAAACCAGGTTCGAACAAATTTATGAAATGAAAATCGTACCGAACTCAATGTGATATTGTTTTCAAAGACGTTGAGATGACAGCTTAGTTAAATGAAATCGCTGCTAGTATCGTGTATGACAAGAAAGGCATTGACATGAAGCTAAATGAATAGTATCTGTGACATCTATGAATCATTTAGTCTTCACTATCAATAATTAAATGCTTAGTTTTTCTGTAAGAACATTTCGATGAGGGAAAATCTGCATTACCTTTAATAATGTTGCAAGAAAAGAAGGAACTAAGTCTACTCAAAGAAAACTTTTCGACGCCGTCGCTAGAGGAAAGCGTTTCGGGTATGCATTAAATTACAATTGATTAACTCCGATGGCTAAACAATACCCTTCAAAAGAGCGAAATTATACTATTTGTATAAGAACTTGTTCATTGTTTAACAAAATTAATTAGATTCATTTTCTTGAAACAATAACAAAAGTTAGTTTTATGTGTTTACATTTGAATAAATGAATTATTAACGAAAAAAAGAGATTCTTTCAGTCATTTCTAATTTGAGAAGCAATAGTCCAATAGACTTACTCAGACACTTATCCTAAACAGATTTCCTCGAAAAAATAGGTGTTCTTTTTCATAAGAATACCGTATTCATTTTTGTTCATTTTAACAAAAAGAAACGGAAAAGGCTTAATCAGATCTCCTTTACTTTTCTTTTTCAACCAACAAGAGACTTTCTAGTAGAAATGAATTTAAATAGGTTTCTCTAATTGAAAACGATTTCTGCTTGAATTGAAATGTACGCCCAAGCATAGTAAATGATACATGAATGTCTATATAAATATATTTTTTCCATTTCGCTATCAATTGGTGCAAGATCTCTAGCAACTAATTCAATTATCCACTTCTATTATCTAAATACAATTAGAAAGGAATATTTAAAAAAAAGTACCCAAACATAAAGAAAAATTTTCTGTTGAAAAGAACACAAATTGTAGCTTTATATTTGTATAATACAATAAGTGTGGATTATTTCATATTTATTTTTAGTCAACCTAAACTGTATTAAAATGAAACCTATTAATAAGATAAATTTAATTTTGTACAATATTCATTAAGACGAATTTCTATATCTATGTATAACAATGATTACTATTTTTCATAAAACAATATCGTTAACAATTGATGTGGATTAAGTGCTAATGTCTCAAATTATCTTCTTAGCTTCATTTCATTAGTAATTTATCATCATCGAAGTGATATCTGTAAAAGTATATGAATATCACCTGATGTTAGAACTGTAAAAGTTGACATAGATGTATGTTTGAATAATCTGTGTTATTCTCTCATCATTATTTAACATAATATTCAAATCATATTACCCAGTCAGACACGCATTAAAAAAACGACGTTTTTACGTGTTTGAAGCGCACATTTTTGAACGTTAAAACGCGTTTTTCGAAAATGTGCGCTTTTAACGCGTAAAATCGTCGTTTTTTTTTAATGCTTGCCTGAGTGGGTACTTGCATGAAATAAGATAAGTACCGTCAAGAGACTACAATTATCCTCGAATTTTAAAAATAGATATAATGAAACTTGAACTATCTAGTATATAATCACTTAATATAAACATATACTTTCAAAATAATATTTAAAGCTATCTCTTCTATAAAAAAATTGTACAAAATCATTAACAAGTATTTATAAAATTAGCTAAACATGCAAATGAAGTAATATATATATATACTCTTGTAAATCTAATTTCAAATAAGATTGTTTTCATATATACTATGTCTGATACCGAATACATTCTGTGTGTATCAATCCTTGTTTTTTTCTTGTCTCATTTTGTTGTATGTGAATATTGTAATCAAGCACATCAACTCATTTCCTGTCACAACAAGCTTATTGGAAACTCAGCAAAATGAATGCAATAATGATAATTGAAATATAATTACATAAAAGTAATATCACTATTAGAATCAAATGATATCGAAATTTTTTACTCCTTATTACATGACTTAAAAATGAAATTATTCAAAGATAAGAATACGATTAAACTATGGAACTATTCAGTACTAATTGTTTTTATTGAAATTTTTATTAGAATAATGCATTCAATACAAATATTCGTTTATATTTTTTTCTTTGATTATCTCAAAGAAATAAGATACATCCCTGGATGTATTAGGTAAATAAAGCATTTCATATAATTAATTTTGTATGCGTAAATGTTTTGATTCACCATCAATGATCATTATTTTTTACTTCAATTGCTCTACAAATGATGAGTTTTAATCAGCCTAAATATCTTTAGTAAAGAAGTCTTATCCATTCTTCTCCACACATTGCGTCTAAACTTTTGATGAAAGAAATGAAACAGACAGAGAGAGAGAGAGGTCAGCATCAAATTAAAAGCAACAATAAGCCTGTCAACAACACAGTTTTTTATGAAGAGCATGATTTTATTATTATTATTTAAATGAATAACGAGATTCTTTTTTTTTCGTCGTGTTATCTTTTCCTTAATAAACTGATAGCTATGAAGTAAACTGCAGGGTTTTATCCTAGAACGATTCTTTTAAAAATTTTTCAGCACATTTCTTTTTTTAAAATACAAATGTACTCTGCGCCATTTTCATCATTAGTTTTAAAAAAGGAATCTCTTTTTTATCTAAAAATTCTCTTCTTCTATTATATCGTGCACTATATGCTATAGTTAGTCTAATTTATTTATCAGTGCCAGAATAGATAAATAATATATTTCTTTTTTATTTTTTAGATTTTCATATCTTATATTATTCTGGTTATGTTCAACAACTGTAGATGAATAAACACTTTAGGTCATAATATAAAATACATGAAGTCTGTTTAACTGTTTCTTTTTGTTTTCTTATTGATGAATGATAATGATCGATCATTATTATTCCTTTTTTGCTTTTTTCCATTACTTTTAGTGAGATATTATGTTAGTTTTCAGTTCTTTTTTCTACCAATTATCACCTACTGAATTTATAGTTTGTTCATTTTTTATCTTTTTTTTCTTGTCTCATCCTTCAACATCAAATGCGGTATTTTCAGAAAGATTGATTTTCCAAATGACTACACGAATTATTATTCATTCATTGTAAATAGATGTTTGCTATTTAACAAAAAAATCCTCTTCTACGTTCGTTCGAGTATACCAACAGAAAATTAGAACCAAGTAATTCCTCATTGTTAAGCATGCTTTTTTTACACTCAAGTTATTAATATATTTCTGTTTCTTTGCAACTAAATATGACATCTTTTTTTTTTATCTAATTTGTTCTAGTTCAAAATATCAATTAATGTGCATATATCATAGAATTTGCTTTAATATATTTTTTTCTTGTTTCCTGATCTTGCATGCGTCGCCTACTCTAAAACACGCATTCACGTTCATTATTACATATATTAGTGTAGCCAGCAGCTTGCCCGGATATATATAATTGGACGCGTGTGAATGCTTAAAACGAGTCAAACTACCATGACGAGTAGCAAAGCTAAGTTTATAGACAAGAGAAACATTCTTTCTAAATAAGTATTTATATCGTGTAGAAGAGCTCAGCATGGCCGTTGGAAATGTAGATAAATATATTTCATACAAATAATTTTTTTATTGTCTATTTCCTCTATTTTATTCAGAAAAAATTATTTTTTCATGATATAGAAAACACGTATATACCAAAAAAAGTGAAGGTATTTTTGTTCGAGAAGCATACCGCATCAGTAACTCAAATGAAACATGTAAACTGTAGGTAGTCGAGTATTAAAATCGACCTATATCTAAAATAAACAAAAAGGATTTATTGATGTATGTTAATGGATTTTTTAATTATTCTAATATGTATGCATCTACATAGATTCTACTTTGTATTTCATTTTTGATTGAAGTAAAACTGACATTAATTAATTTTAATAGTTGCATTGTGTGTTTTTTTATTGAATAATTTCATTTTAGGATATTAAATAATCTATTGAATCATTGTTAAAGAATGAATTCCTTTTTGTCATTATTTATCAGTCTTGTCGTATTCTCCATTATTTCTGTTCATCTAACATCATCGGCTAGTTTTCCTAATCCACCTCAATTTCCACCACCCAATGCATCAGCCGACGAATGGACACTTTTTTGGAAATTATTACATAATTATTATGCTATTATTGCCCGGCCAAGGTAATATTGTATGTTTGTTTTTCTGTCTATTTTATTTTTCGATATAGATTTGGTAAACGATACAATTCAATATTGTCTCAATCAAAAGAACCATCACTTCTAACAATTCTTAATCCGAATTTTTCATCTTCTTCTTCATCATCATCATCATATGACAATGATCTCAATTATATGCTTAGTGAAAATGACCATAATGGTATGATTATTAAATCGTCATTTATTTTTCTTGGAGTATTATTTTGTTTTGTTTTTCTTTCAAAATATTTTCAGCTAATGATGATCAAAAAATCGATTTTGACGATTTATATGCATTCATGCCTTCAAATCAAAAACGATGACGATGATAAAATCCTTGTTGATTTACTGACTTTTTTCTCAATGGTATTCGTTTTTTTTTGATGCCAATATTCATAAACTCGATGTTTTTTGATTATTGGCAACAAAAAAAAAGCAAAATATTAATGTATACAAAAAAAGAAAGCAGAGCATTTGTTTCTGTATTATTAAAAAAAAATAAACAACACTATTTTCTGTCATGGTCATCTCAAGTACGAGGATAAGCTGCATCATAATGTCCTATTCCATATTGATTATAAGCTAAAAAGATTGTTTTTTGAGGTAATGATGCATTATTTCCATTTGCTGGTTTTATTTCAATTCGAGATAAATTAGAAACAGATGTAAATATAATAATTTTAATATTAAATGTATTTGATATAGTCAATGGTACAATATCACCTAATGTAGAATCTGAAACACCATTTTTTGAAAATTTTTTAACTTCTTTAAGAAATGAAACTTTATGTGTATCAACAAATTGACTATAAAATTGTTCATTTAATTTCCATTCATTTACACATATTTGTCGTAAACGATTTGCAAAATCAACCAAACGAAAATCTAATAATAAACCAAATGCTTCTAATTGTAAACGAAATCTATCGGGATCCATTTTCATTTCATAGATAAGACCTTCAGCAAGTGCATAAAAAAGACAATTACCATCACCTTTAACTTGTAAACGTTGAATATTATGATTATTTAAATTAGAGTTTAATTCTTGCTCATGAAAAAGAAATTCATCATCAGAATTATGTACATCATTATCACGAGAACATAAACGAAATGGATTATATAATTTCATTGATGAAAAATGAGATTTATTCGAAAATAATGATTGAGATGATTGAATTCATTGTAATAAAAAATTTCGAAATGAGCACATGTTGATTCACAAAAAGAAAAAAAACTAACAGCTGATAATTTTGCATCAGGTAAACATATATTTACATTTATGAATCATTTTTTTCTCTTAAATCAATTGCACAACGACCACAACGTCATTATCTGAGTCAATAAATGTGAAAAGAAAACGAAATGTAGTGGTTGCATTTCGTCGTTATGCACAACACGATCAATCATCTATTCTTTTCATCTTTTTTTTATTGGCCAAACTAAAGAGTGAAAAATAAAACGGAAATTTCGTCTTTGATTCTCATTTTATGTTGTTTTTCGCTACATGAAAGTATTAGAATAATCTTTACTGTACGCATTTACTAGTTTTCAGAATTTTACAAACAATGTAATTTTGAAATTTTTTTTTCTGTGATACCGAGCATCTTAAGTAAAATCTAAAGAATGATTTTGATACATAATGAAATTCTCTATCAGATGCACTATATATATCAAAGTTTCATAATTGGATTAAGAAGGAAACTTACTCAGATGTCTCCTTCCTATGCCAATGACTTTTTTGTCTATAGATACTACATCGTGTTCTAATAAAAATTCTAAAAGTATTAAGACTAGTTTCTATAAAAAAATGCGTGTGATGTAGAGTGGCAGACAAAACTTTATAGCAGTTGTATTTTTAATTTTTCTTCTCAAAGGTGATGACTAGAAAGAATTCGAAAAAAAACATTTGCGTAGCGGATAGGGTTCTTTGTTAGGCTTGAAGACTTGAAAAAAACTGTTTGGATGAAGATCTACGGTAAATCAAGACCTCTAAAACCAGCTTTCTGGCATACATTCGACACTTTTATGGAAATATGTTATTTGATAGAAAAAATAATTCTTAGCAAAATGAAAAGTCTTCAAGTTTTCATGACCTTCTTTAATCAAGCTCCATTCAATTTCAAGATGATCCCAAACCGTCAAAGAAGACGAGAAAATGTTTCTATGCCCTTGTATAAAATTGAAGACAGTTCAATGAAGGAACATTATGAAGAGAACCGAAACAACCCATTTCGTTCGAAATTATGTGCTCTATTATATAAAATAATATTCCAAAAGCTTCACATGAAAGTCAAAAGGCTGTTTTTGAAGGTATTCGTTTTCCGTTAACATTAATTCAAGTAGTTCTTTTCAAGTTTTTTAACCTATCAATCTTAAAAGAGAATCCTTTCAGTTACATAAATATTTTTTCTAATTCTTGCTCGATATTACTATCGAGAAGAAAACTTGAGAGTACAACGGCTCGAAACTTGTGTCCGTCATTATACACTATCTGTAGACAAGAGTCTATACCTTGAAAACCTGATGCGTCGAAGAGACTTTGAACAGAATTTCTAAATTTTTTTTATGGCAGCTAGTCTGATTTGATTCTCTATGACAATAACGTTTCAGATAAAAACTCAAAAATACTAGTTTCTGAATATTTGAAGTCTCTCCAGAATAAGCATATCAAAAATTCCATAGCTTAATCAAGTCTCAATAGGAACTCGAATCCTTATAAACTCTTTATTAGAACACTACGTAGTAGTATCTAGAGGCAAAAAAATCACTAAAACCAAAGGGGACATCTGAGAAAGTTCTGCTCTCAGTGGAAAAGTTTCAGATTTTAGAAGACATAATGAGAGTTTGTTTTGAACAGGAACAGTTAAAAAAGCACAAAATTCTAAACATAACGATAGTAGCTGCATTTTTAACGTTTCTTCCTTACAACATTACAAATATTTGTCGAAAACAAAAACACACATTTCTGTAATTGTTTTCTTTTGCTTTTCGACATGTCTGCAACTTTGTAAGAGAAAGTCGTAAAAAAATGCAGTGATTCCTCATTGTACTCAGAATTTTTTCGCTTTCTCAGATGGTACTGTCGAAAGCGCAGTCTCAACGATGTCTTCGAAGACCTGAAGACTATTGTTTTCAATGTCTTTAGAGAATTTGATTAAGTATCAAAATTACTCTATAGATTTAAGTTAAATGCTTCCTATCACTAAGAAGAAAACAAATTTACCTTGTTCTTACAATTTTAGACAGTACCGTAGGTGTTTTTATTGTTAAAGTCGATCATGTCATTTCTCAACATATATGAATTAGTTATGTTGTAAAAGAAGATACAAAAATTGTCGACGTAACTATTCAATGCAACTAAAATTTACTTTGATGAAACCTTTCGCTAAGTGTCTTCAACCAATGTACTCAGTTCTTTTAATCATCATTGGAAATTTAGTAATGCATTTCTTTTTTTGTCAACTATAAATTTGAATTGTCTTACATGAAAGAATAAAAGTTTTGATAAACTAAAATAACTAGTTACTTCTGATGAAGTGGCTATTGTAAATAGATGTATATCTTTTCATTTTCAAGCCAATATTCACTCGATAAGATCGATAAAATGTAGTTAAAGTCGGCAAAAAATAGTAACTCTACACCATAGATGCATTGATGATGACGATGGTTCTGAGTTTGATCCACAGATAAGATTAATCAATTACTGATTGAATGATGTTATTTTACATCTATTGGTAATGTCTGTTGATAAGAATTATGTGTAATACGCCTGTTTTTTGCTACATAAGCAGCAAATGAAAGGAGACAATTTATATAAGATTCGATCAAGTGAGACGAGATGTGACGCTATTTTTAGTAGACCAGCAAACAGAATAATATACGGTGACGACTTCTATCCTAATATGTCAACGTTTGAAGAATGAATACAGCCGTATATAAGTGATCGAACAATTTTTAGACAAAATGTTTGTTCAGTTTTGACTTGCTATGAAGTATTTTCGGCGAGTTAAAAGCTATGAGTTCGGATCAGAACTTTTTGTTCTCTTCAAAATAATCTTGTCTCAATGTTTGTTCGACAACAGTGTAATAGTTTCTGACAAACTCAAAAATAGTTTGAATGCAACTTGTCGATTAACGTTTAAGGGAACATGTTTGTTCATTTTGCACTGTTGGAAAGTATTTCAGACAAATCAAAAATTATAAGTGACGACTAGAATTCAAGTATGGTCTTAGAAATGTTGTGTCTATTTTTGTAAAAGAGTATTGAGAGACTTTTTTCGAAAGATCTGAAAATGGTGAGTCCATAGGTTTTAGTTTATCCTATAAGTCTCTTTTTGAACATCCTGGACATTGTCAGAGTCAGTTATTTTATAAAGTGAAACACTTCTCTACAAAATGTCATATTGAAACTAAAGTGTCGTTTCTACTCAAGCATCTTGCAAGAGTTCCTTTCAATGTGAAACGGTGGTTGTTTTTTCAACAATGAGTATTTAGGAAAAATGAAGATTGAGAGATATGTAAATAAAGATCTCAAGCTTTAGTTTCAAGTCTCAATAGTTAGAATACAACAATATTCTGTCCAAAGAAATTTTTAAAGCTTTTTAACGATTATTTCACTACTTTCGAACGAAAGTTGAATCAAGACTTCTAAGTTCATTTTCGAAAAAGCACAAAATCATAGCTTGTGACCGGCCGGAAATACTTTCTAGTGCGGCAGAAGTAAATAAATATGTTGTCTAAAAACTTTTCAATCATCTGTTATATAACATTCGAAAAAAAATGCAAAAAATGAAGAAAACTAATAAAAAAAAAAAGAGATCACTCGATTTTTAAATCAGGACGAAAAACAACCTATTGTTGCTGTTCAAGATGAATGATTTTCAGATAAACAAACAGATAACTAAGGAAAAAAACAAATCGAGATATGTGTTATGGCCAAGTACTGTAACACCGCCAATTAAAACAAAATACTAGTCTGATACAGGAGAAGATTTTTTCAAGCATAGTCTGTTCCTGTTTTTCTTTAAAAATCATGGTTCTAATAGCATTCTTCTTTTTGAGTTAAAGACTTTCAATATTTTATGTATAATCCAATTTCTTGGACGACATATACATCAAACTATCTAAATAAATGCAAGTTACCATAATATACTGAAAATTCACTTTTATACCATGTTATGTTATTAAATTGTAATATAAAAAATGATCTATTATTACAAGGACGAAGGTTGATAAGGACACTTTTCTCTCGAAAATGTTTTCAAAAGAAAAGTTACATCACGATAATGAATCAACCATGGACTGCAATATGAGCAATATTTATTCACATTAATTCAATATTAACATTTTTTGCACCTATAATTCCAAACTGCTGACCTGCAAAGTTTTCCTCTTCGTTTTGAGTAAAATACATGCCAAAATATAGGATTCATGATACTAATCACGAATATCTTCTTGATTTTCGTTTAAACAATTGTAACAAGTGAGGAGATGAAATATGCAATATTTTGACTGAGTGAAAAAAAGAAATGGCCCTCAGTGTTTGTTTTTAGGTGATTCTGTGTGCAGTAGAGTGCTCTAAATTTCTGAAAAATTATTTAATTTAGCTAATTGGAGATTTCCTATTTAATTAAACATTAATTATGTCCATGAAACATATAAGATGACGCACAGCATGAGAGAACCGTGAAAAGATAATCTGAAAAATATGACTTTTTATTATTAAATGGTAATTTTTGCCCTAAAAGAACAATGTTTTTCTTCTTCAAGGACATTTTTAGAATCTAGCATAGGGCACTGAATCTGCCTATATTACTTTTCGAGAATAACCGGCTAAAATAGCGAAATGATATCATTTGAGAAGGAGCTATACACAGCAATTGACGAAGATTATTGCTCTTAATCCAATTCTGATTTGTTTCATACATTGAAATATTTTAATTTCTGCATTATTAGATAAAGAATACTTGAATACCTATTTGAAATTTGTTTTGAAACGTTTAGAACACTATATAAGGTCGGTAACTAGTTAAAAACAAATAATAACATAGTTATCAACCCAGTACGTACTTTTTCATCGAAAAGGTTTATAAAAAGAAGACTCAGAGGTATTAGTAATAAGTACCATCAACTCTATATATTGATATATGTTTGACTCACAACGAAAAGCAAGAACGAAATTTTCAGGTGCGTCATAGGGGAAACAACAAGTACAAAAAATCTTAATGTCGAATTAATGTGAATAAATATGCTCATATTGCAGTCCATGGTTGATTCATTATGATAATGTAAATTTGTTTTTTTTTGAAAAATGTTTTGAAGAGAAAAATGTCCTTATTAACCCTTATCTAATGTAATAGATTTATTTGTGTGCTCGTACTATGTAAAAGGTATCTTGCTGAAATTTAAACGCAAGTAGAATTAACCTAATTTGACATACAAACTAAGTTTATAAATTCATTGGGAATAATTCATCTTGGTTGACCAATTCAAATTGATATTAATATCAGTAAGAGTAAAACTCTAACGATTACAATTATAACAATTGTCTTGAAAGAAAAAGTTGAGCTGATAGTTGACATAAATAAAATCTTGTATTTCATTTAATAAAATATTAATAATTAGTTAAAAAAAAGAGTACTGTTCTATTTTTTTTCCCATATGAAATTGAGAACAAACGACTTAATATACAAATAAAACAACAACAAAAAACAAACAGAACAAACAAATCAAATCAAATCAAATCATTTTCTTTGTTTTGTCTTTCGTCATTCTTTGATAATGACAGATGAAGTCCTGATCTAACCGTCTGGTATTATCGTCTTGTTTCATTTACTGTAAACTCAATGTCTGAATAAATATTACTAATGCTTTGTTACATCATTATTGATATCTAGCTAAAAAGAACTAAAGAATTTTATCATGTCAAACTATGACACTCAAGATAAAGAAGTATAGCAGATGAAATAAAATTTTAGTTTGTTATTAATAATAGATTTCGACGTATATCGAGTATTTTTATGTAAAAATTAACGAAAAATAAGGTGAGTCATTGATAGATTAGAGTCATTAACTAAGGTAAACAAAACTATATCGTATTTCACTTTTGTGTGCGATAATGTTCTCTACAAAGGCTTGTATAAATATGCATGGACATTTCTTTTTACAACAGTATCTGTCATAAAACTACTGCATTCTTTCATTTTCTATAGATAACTACTCTGTAGAAAGAAACAACTCCTTGAACTTGTAAGTTAATGTTATAAAATATCTTAATATTTACGATATGACACACCATATTCAGGTATAAATATCTTGTAGATAAACTCTAAGAACCTTTAGAAATAATTGTTAAAAATGGATATTCTCATCGGTAAGTTTCTTAGCTAAAAGAAAAAGAAATTATATACAGACACAGATTAGGCATGTCGAAATACTAATATGGTATTGAGCTATTGTTATTGAATGGCATTTAGTGTTGGAAATTCAAAATTTTATTAAATTTTTGTTTTTGATTTATTTAGTGTTGTTGGATAGAGCATATTGAAGTTACGTAATAAAAAGTTACTTTTCAGTTTTTGGAAACAAATTTTTCCTAGATTCTAAATATCGTGATTCGAGTTTTTCTTTATCAAAGATATGTAATATTCGTTTTCTTTAATATGATAAGTGCTATTTCGTGATTTTACACACAAAATTGACCATTAAAAAACTTATGTACATATGGTTGTTTTGATCATATATGCCTATAGAATCATGAAATAACCCTTCTCATGTCCTACAAAGTGGAACCACATATCTGCGATAATGGGCAACGCTTATCATCATATTTTGAATCTAGAAAAAACTTGTTTCCAAAAATCGAAAAAGTAGTTTTTTATTATATAACATAATATGCTCTATACGACAACGGTAAATAAGTCGAAAACAAAAATTTACTGAAATTTTGAATTTCTGGCATTTTAAATATCACTTAATACTAATATCAGTCAATACGAAAATAATATTAGTATTGGGACATGCATGGCACATATAACTTTAAAAATACACTTCTGATGTCTATCAACAATAACTGATAAATGTTCTTGCTTTAGTTAAAAATATATCAAGCAATAAAGCAGAACCAAACTATGTACATGATGGCGGTATAATCGCTGCTATCTTTCTTGCTTTAATTTCATTTATTTTTACTTGTCTTGTTAATGGACTTGCTTCAACTGGACCTAATAGTAATTATTATTAAATTATCAATTATAAGAAAAAAAAAAACTTTTTTAATATTAGAGTTTTTTAATAAATCAACAGCTAAAGTTAGTGATGAAAACCCGACTGAATTTACTCCAGCTGGTCCTACATTTTCTATATGGGGACTTATATATACTTGGCAGGCAAAATAAAATAAATAGAAAACATATTTGAACTTTTGTATTCAATGACCTTTTTTTTTTCTAGTTAGCTTTTCTTGTATATTCAATTGTAAATATATGGCGAAAAACTGACGATGGTTTTCTTTATATTCATCCATATACTTTACATGTGGCTATTTTTATTCTTTTTATTGCTAATATACTTTTAAATTCATTTTGGTTAGTCCTGTGGGATAGACTTAAATTTGGAGTGAGTCATACATTTTAGTATTTCAATAAATATTTACCTATGATATTTAGTTTTCAACAATTATTCTTTATTTAATGGTAGCAACTATTGTCGGTGCTTGTGTACTTGATCATATTTTTCTTTGGCAGACTAGATGGGATTTTATTCGATTGAATAAGTAAGTAGTTGTTGTTTGTTTGTTTGTTTGTTTGTTTTTCTTCAATTAATTAATTATAGATCGGGTGATATTTGGATGATGCGTTTTATCGTATTAAATGGTCATGCAGTTTATTCAGCATGGTTACTTGTTGCTTCATCACTTAACCTCACTATTTGGCTGAAAAATAAATTACCATTGAATGTTGAAGGTTGGGCAACAACAATTTCTCTTATTTTACTAACTATTGGTATTATTGTTTATTGGATTTTTGAAAATTTTATATTTCCATCTCCAATGGCTTATACATGGTCTCCGTGGCTAGTTTGGTTTGTGAGTTTAATAGGGATTTTAAGTAAACATTGGAGATTACTTCTAAAAAAATCATTTAATCAACTTGTGGTATTAATGATAACTTTTCTTTGTTTTGGATTGTTTTGTGTTAGAGTTATACTGTTTATTGTCAGATATACAAGACAAGAAATACCGACTGGTTCATATCCTGCTGGACTATGATTGAATTCGATTCATATTTTTTTTGTAATGTTTCATATAGACTGGCATACGAAAAATAAAAGTATGGTATAATCAAAAAATCAACCAAAAGTCTTTGATTACGACTACTGTTTGATAGGAACAAGATAACAAACTTCTATTTGTACCGTTCAAAGAAACTGTGTCATTGCATAGTTCCATGTATTATTTAAAAATGTCAATAGATCACAAACTGAGCTTGCAGTGCTCTTCAGAAAATATTAATAGCTCTCCAGGACAAAGTATTCTAAATCTGTATAGCACCGGAAATGATCATATACACTTTACATTTCTTCGAATTTCATACGGAAAATTATGATTATTCACAGCAAAATACGAAGGCTGTATACAATCTTCATATACGGATTCAGTAAATGACCACATTTGTATCCATAAGAGTGCTGCCACCGCTTCTGCTTTTAGCAGAAAAATTCTGTTTTTTTTTGAGTTTTTTAACTTTTCTAAGCTTTGTTCCTCCTTATATTTCTATCAATATTCTTACGAGGAAAGTATCCAACTGTTCAAAAGCTGTTAACTTGATCTTTTGACTATAATTAGATTTCAGTGAGACTAAGAAAACCCTAACAGTGTTTGTACTCATGACTTGTTCGTCAAAAGTTACGAACGTTTTACTGAATTTTCGGCTTAGAGTGCAGTATCTGCAGTAAAATCAAAGGAAGTTATTTTCATCTAAAGTTTTGTTCGTAAACTGTTTTGATGGCTTCTGGTACATACTAAAATATTAAACCTAATCGGATGTTTCCTTTTTGAGATATTGAGTTTTCAAAAAATGTCCTCTTATACACATCAGACAGGACATAATACAAGGCCTAACCATGGAAATTCAATATCTCGAGAAAGAAACATCCCGTTTGATTTAAGATTTTACTGCATACTAGAAATCATCAGAGTAGTTTACGGAGAAGATTTCAGGTGAAAATAGCTTTATTTGGCTTTGCTATGGACATCACATTCTAGGCCTAAAATTCAGTAAAAATGATTGTAACTTTTGACCAACAAGCCATGGGAACAAAGAAACCTTCTACAGTTTTCTTAGTTTCGCTGTAACCTACTTGTAGATAAAAGATGAATTCAAAGACTCTTAAACAGTTGAGATACTTCCCTTGTTAGATTTTGCTATCTCATTTCTTCAAAAATATAAGTGATATTAGAGCTGGGCAAGCGAAGTAAAAATGCCTTAAGTGCAAGTCAAATCAGACTTGGTTTGAATTAACTTGACTGAGAAAGATATTTTAATATCTCTGACTTGTTCACCTCTGAGCGACACTAGCTATCCATATTCCCTAATATTTATTTTTTATTCATATTCTTTTATAAAAATGTCAAATCTTCTCTACGATTTACAAGAAGCATTAGCGTGATTTTTTTATCATTGGGACACCTTTCTTTCTTCCTCATTCTAAAAAATACAACACAAGAAAACTTATTACAGGACAGTTTCAAGAATTTCTAAAATTGAAAACAATATGTTTTTTTAATTATTTCGTGAATGGCACAGCTCATTTACTTCAGTGTAGAAAACAGAGTCCAGCGGCTAGAGCAATATTGAGATTGGTATGTACTAATGACTAGTTCTCTGTGTCTAAGATTACGATGATTTTGTCATGCTTTTGCCAAAATCAAGAAGTATAACATGGCTATCTATATCGCAACTTTTTGATTCAAAGTTTACGTGTACGATATATTTAAGCGAGCTATTACTTGTGCTAATTGATAATCATTGAAAATCTAGAGCGTAGTTCTGTCTAGTGCGATACATTTGCAAGATATTTGTTGAACGTTAGAGCTATTTATATTAACGTATTTTCTTGCTATTTCATTTCAATCCTATTCTGGTATATAATCTATTTGGCACCTATTCATTGAAGATATGACATGTTTAAGTTGTACTACTTTCTTCTGTTCATCTGATAATAAACGCAAGATCAATTTCCATCAAATGCTTCCAAAAAAAAAACAAATAGGGGAAAAAAAGCATTGATTCATTTTCGATGATGTACCTATGGTAAACAAGAGGGTTGATCTTATACAAATTTTGTCGAGAACGACCTAGAACTTGGCGAGAAATTTTACTAAAGAAAATTTTTGTTCAACAGAGCTGAACAGGACAAAATTTTTTCATGGTATAGTTTGAATCTTTCAAATTGAACAATGATATAGTATCAGAAAATAGCTGTTACGATCTGTGTTGATAACATTGGGTCATCTTACTTAAATGTCTATCTTTTTGGTTGTATCTTGTTAAATGCCTAGCTGTCTTTGTATATATATCAAAGACACGTGTTTCTTTTGTTTTGTTTGCTGTTTCCAATGGTGTATAGTTTGTTGTTGATTATTCTCTCAAAATCAAGCAATGCTAACAAGAGAATCATCTCAGATAGTATCACTCGTTAGGTATGGTCTATCGAGACTAGAAAAAGCCTAGAAGAATTTTTTCCATGCGTTATCCTTCTGAAGTTATAGCCGTTTTACTGGAATTTTTATCCTTGGTAAAGTATTTATAAAAAATTGAACAAACGAATATTGACATGAAACTTTGTACATAAACAACCTTTGAGACTGTTAGATTATCCTAAGATTTTTCAGCCAAAAACAGCGATTCTTTCTTAAGATATTAAAACAACTAGACAATTTGATATCTCAAGAAGGAATCTTTCTATTTAACTAACATTTTTAGAATATTCTAATGGTCTTAAGAGCTGTTCATAGATAAAGTTTCAGATCAAATCTCTTTATTCGATTTGTTTTAAGTATCATATCAAGAATAAAAGATCTTGTGGAATGATGATAACTCTAGAAAGACAGCACATGGGCAGAAATCCTTGAAAGTTTTTTCAGAATTATATTTTAACAAATCAAAGATTTGTTTTCACACTATGTACCAAGGAGTAGAGCAACAAGAGCTGAATATATTGACCTATTCAAAATATTGTATGTCAACTATTTACTCATACTTGATAATCTAATAACTGTAGAATATCTCACAATTTATCAGTAAATAACACCTGATCTTTGGTAGTATACTGGTAGTTTCTTTTGATACCAATTATCGAAATCGAAACTTGTCACGTTGAAATTTTGATATGGTATGTAAATTTGAATTATATGTCAAGCAGATTTGCTCAGATATTTTGTCCTCAAATAGACATTATCATAAATTGTGTTTCATAAGTATCAATCCCCTTTTATTGTTTATTTGTATTTTGTCCGCATTCGAAGATGAATAGATATTGAATCTATGTATTTGAAGAATAGTACAAAAGCTATCATCCAAGAGGAGTTGGATTCAATTTACAATAACTCAAAGAAAATGCTACATTGGTACAAATATCAGAAAAATGTTATCAAAGTTATTTTTTCGACACTGCCGAACATTACGGAATTTCAATTTTTTGTCTTTGGTGTGCCGTATACCCATGATGAGAAGAGTAAGTACCTTTCGAAGTTTTCATCATAGATAGGTCCTGGCTTAGATCTACCATCGATGAAAGTTTTATTCATTTTGATACAAGAAAAACAAAGTTATTCTCAAAATAGCGACCACTATGAAATTTCAAAATACATCTATCGCATAGCAGTTAGTATTTCGAGAGGAACTCTACTTTTGCTGTACCAGAATAAATTAAATTCTCATGGATCATAGATCTAACGAAGATCTATCTATGATGAAAATTTCATATTATTTACTTTCCTTCTGATGAAGATACGGCTCACTAAAGACGAAGAACTCAAACTCCATAACGTTCGACAACGTCAAAGAATTAATTTTGATAAAATTTTTTCGATATTTTCACCAGTGTAGTATTTTCTTTGGATTGTTGTAAATTTAATCCAATTCCTCTTGCATAACATCTTTTGTCCTATCCTTGAAATACTGCCAAGATACAAAAAATATTTTAGAAAAAGAATCAAAACCTATGGAACACTTTTTGAGTATTCATTATTGTAAGCATTGGCTTACATTAACTGATTGTTCGGTAGAGAAACAATTCGATTGACTGGATTTATTAATACAATTATCTATTTTCTTCATCACCATTGCAGTCCGTACGTATAACTATCCTATTAATATTTTAATTCTAATTAGCTTGTATTAAGTTGATGATAAACTTTATATTCAATTACAAAGAAACATCGAACAGAGGAAGTGTTCAGGAAAGAAAACATAAATGCAAATTTTACAACGTTCAGCAGATGTTCAAAGACTAGAATAACCTTATTTACTTAGTCATGTATCGATGGTAATTATTGCTGCGTGTTACATAAGTAGTTTTTTTAATAAATCTTAATTATCTAATGGATGAAGTATTTTTTATTATTTCTAATATTTTAATGTACGAAGAATTTTTGAGTTGATTACGGTTAATTTATTAATCTTTGTTAATAATGTTGATAATTTACCAACTGATAATTCAACTATATCAATGTAATTATTATGATTCAGTGACTTAAATCTAATATATTATTCATTTTTATTTTTGAATGATCATATTCTAGTTTTGTCTCTATTAAATTTTATTTCATCACAGATTCAATTCAAACATAATAATAATTCAATAAATACAATAAACAACAATGATTTTGAACTATGTAAGATTTGTTTCAAGACAAATTATAATTGAATTAATGCTTTTATTATTGTGAAAAATAATATCTATAACTCATTTTTCTTCGTAAAAAAATACTTTCAAGTAAACTAATATCCTCATTTTTTATTAATTTTTTTATCAAGTGAATGTATGACATAAAAATTACTGAATAAACATGATGTTATATCACCATTTACAAACTGAGAGATTGTATCGATTATCTTCTTGTCCTTCCAACAACTGTTATTTAGTTAGATCGAGATCTGTTGTTAATTAAATATTAATTAAGTCTGCAAATTGTTTTATCTTTACTTTATTTTAAAAGAATGGCTGCATCGAGCTAAATATATATAGGAAAAAAATTTTCAGAAAGGTTGATCGTTTGAATTCTCTTTGGCTCTAGTCAGTAAATTTTGCATAACAATTTATAAATATAAAAGGAAAAGATATTGTAGAATTAAACGATGTCGATCTTGATTTCTTAATTAAAAAGAATAGTTTTATTGATTTTTTTAATTAAAATTTCAGTTATAAGCTGTTAACATAAAGAAGTATACATAAATTATGTAAAACTCGTACCGCTAGCAATCAGTTGTACCAAATTATAGTACCAGAATTCATTCTTTTATTTTGAATCGATTATATTTTATATAATCCATATTTATAGATTGATTGCTCTGGCTCAATTAAAATCAATTGCAATTTTGTATTGAGTGGGATAGCCTTCGAATTAAATTTTTGAAATATTTGTAACATAATGTAAGTAATATCACATCTTAGATGTCGTTAGTTATTGATAAATTATTGTTTTGTTCTTCTGAAAGAGCCTAACATTTGTGCGTTTGTAGTGGAGGTTCATTCTATCCATTGATTACCTTCTTGTTGCTTATTGATGGAACATTTGGATCTTTTTTTTTCTAGTTAGACTTTCATTTATTTTCTTAATATTTATTATTTGATTTTTGTTTAAGATTAATATAGTTTTCTCGTCGGTACCACTAATATAATGACAAATCCGAAAGGTTATCGTCGGGGTACGCGTCATTTATTTGCACGCGATTTTAAAAAGAATGGCCGAATCCCGTTGGCTACTTATATGAAAATCTACAAACGTGGTGATATTGTCGATATTAAAGTCAGTTAAATTCTTAATAAAAATGAAATATATGATTGTAATCATTATTGATTAGGGCAATGGTGCTGTACAAAAAGGTATGCCACATAGATTCTATCATGGTAAAACCGGTCGTGTTTTTAACGTAACTCGCCATGCTGTTGGTATTATTGTTAACAAACGTGTTCGGTATGTAATTTTAATTATAGTTTTCAATGAAAAGTTTATTTGATTTTATTTTTCTTTTAGTCATCGAATTATTGCTAAACGAATTAATGTTCGTATTGAACATGGTAAATTATTTTTTATTTCTTTTTAAAAGAGAAATTCAAACTTTCTTTTTTTTTTATTTCGTTTGAAGTTAAACACTCAAAATGTCGTGCTGATTTTCTTAATCGTGTTAAACTTAATGAACAATTGAAACGAGGTGCTAAAGAATCTGGAAAAAGTGTACCGCTTGCTAGTATTAAACGACAGGTAATATTCATACATAAATATTCATTTTACAGTATTATTATTATTATTATTATTTCATGTCTTCTAGCCACAAGGTCCACGTAAACAACATTTGGTTCGTACACGAGGCAATAAACCACAAATAGTCGAACCAATTCCATATCAATTTGTAGCTTAAAAAAGAAAAGATAATTTTTTTTTTAATTGCTACTCTTGTTTTTTTGAATCACGCCTATCTAGATGCGTGAAGAAGAAAAAATAAAAAAAGAAATATCCGAAATAAATATAAAAAAAAGATAATCATCATGTTTTATTCTTCAGATGACTTATCATAGTAGTTGTAGAAAAGAATATGTTTTTGATTATGAAGTAAACCTTTAGACCAATATATATATAAGTTAAATTTTAGCAATGTCGAGAATATGAAGGAGTTTTGAAAGGTAGTCTACTCTGTATTTGTTTATAATATACATTTTTTTTGCTTTCGTTGAAGATTATGACTAATTATTAAATTTAGTATTTAATCAAACTATTAAATTATTTACGCGATTCGGATGATGAATACAACACTTATGATACATTCGAGAGTTGAGCAGTAGACATTGAAATCCCAACACATGAGATTTTTGTTACTTAAGTTCTTGATATTTGAGTTTCTGATACCTGAGCATCATACACGAATATATTACTACAAAAGTGTAATAGTAATGCATACCCGTTGTAACGAAGGTTTTCAAAGTTATTTATCGATTTTTGAACTTACACTTTGAATATATCAAGAGAACTGAAGCTTACAAGAGACTTATCCAAATGAATACCCACCATTTGAACTCGTATTAGGTTCACAAGAACAGCGTTGTAAAACTAGAAAAATCTTAAAAAGAACTCGTGCCTATGAGTCGATAAAGCTGAGTTATGATCGTTTTACTGAATATCTAACCTAAACGTTTGCCCATAAATAAAATAGTCATTGATTATAGAAAGTCCACAAAAATTGGACTTCCTTGAAAATTTCATATCTCGATCAAGGAACATTCTTTTCGGTTGAAACTTTCAGAATACTCGAAGTGCCATTAAATTCATTTAAAAGTGATATATGGACACTTTTAGACTTTTGCTAGTCTCACTTAAACACCACTTTAGGCACAAAGTATGCTGAAACGGTAGATTTTAGTTTCGATGGTTTCTTCTGTCGTATTGTTCTATATTGAGGTAATGAATTTTAATATTATAGTTCAAAGAAGGAATTTTAACTAGTTGTTGTTGTTATCTCGAAAATGATAATATGACCATATTATCAGTGTATTAAATATTCGTATATTTTTATCTCTGATAGTTTTTAGTCTACAAATAGTATATTCATAAAATCAATTATTTGTACTTTCAACAGAATTTGCTTTAATGCCAATGCTAGAGTTTGTGAACAATCGAGTCGTCTTTTCTAACCTTTTGTTCGATTCAACCATTGTTACAAAGTATAGTGATTTAGATAACTCTTTCAACGTTTATTCTTCGCACAAGTATAAGTCTTTAGTCAACTTTCATGATGATATAAATATTGGATAGAATAACTGATGAATACAAAAATTATTTTTATCAACAGTAGGAATCGTGGAAAAACTACTGTGCACTACAAAGATGAAATAAAAGCATAAAGTTTTAAAATAATATACTGATAATGTATTTAGATTATTATTAGATTTTTATTTATTTGCGCCTTTTCATTTTCGAGATAATCACAATATGCAGTTAAAATTCTATTTTGAGTTATAATTTGAAAATTCATTATCTCAACAGAGAACAATGATAAGTCTTATTCCTCTTGAAGTATTTCATGTGTGGGCTCAAAAGCACTAAATAACTCTGGAAATGTTCTTTTTAATAGATATTCTTTACTGTTTCATTTCTTTACGTCAAGTCATTCATATAAGAGGCTCATATGATGTGAAACTCAAGTGTTCGGAACTCAAATGTCAAGAAATTCTAGTGTTCTGAAACTTATTAGTTGAGACTCATTTTGTCGGAGCTCAAATATCGTCTTACCTGAGACTTAAAACTTTTTGCATATCGAGGTACATTAACCGTATTAATATGTTCGATTAATGGAATGGAAGGAGTTGCAAATACCATTTGTTCAACATGAATGATTTTGTTAAAATAAGCAGATAATTTGCTTGTTTTTATACAAATAAACAAGAACATTAGATACAATCAAAAATATGTTTATATTCTTTCAGATTAATATGGCGTGTCGACCATTGATAAAAAATGGTTAGTTGCTTTCTTTTTCTTTCTCCGCAAATTCTTTCTATGATTAAAAATATTCGTTCTTTAAAGGTTCACGTCTTTTACAACCTATTCTATTTAATCGAACAATAGTTAATGGTACACAAGATAAACCACCATTTCCAAAAGTTCTTCGTATGTTTAAATATAATCTCATCTCTATAATAAATAATACATTTTTTTTTTCTTGAAATAATATAGCTGTTGGATTACCATTACAAAATGAATTATCCGAAGTGAAAAGTGTCCCAGACACACCACCAAATCAACAAGTTTATCCAAACATGTCTCGACGATTACTTGAATGTCGTGGTGTAGAAATAATTCATGATAAACTTATACATAAACAATATGGTATTATGGTATATTACTAAAATAAATAATATTCTTCTATTATATAAGATTTCTGTTTCTTCTAACATAATTTAGGCTCTTGCTCCTGGCTTAATGAAAGAAAGTCATTTTAATACAATTCGTGATATGGTTAATAAACGAATTGATATGGAACGATGTTTTTCTATATGGCGTGTTGATCCACCTTGGCATCCATGGTATTTTAAAGGTTTAAATAAAAAACGAGGTGCTGGTAAAGGTAGTATAGAATATTTTGTTACACCAATCAAAGCAAATCGAGTTATAATTGAAATTGGTGGTACACTGACATTTGATTATCTCTATCGTACATTATTAGCAATTGCTGAATCATTACCATTTCCAGCTATACCTGTATCTCAAGAATTATTAGATAAATGGAATGCTGAAAGACAAGAAATTCAAGAAAAAAATGCTAATCCATTTCGATGGGAATATTTAATACGAAATAATATTATGAATTGTCATCGATATACAGATTTTTATGATATTGAGTTTGCTAGATATGGACCGAAAGTTCGATAGAATTTATAAATATATATGTGTGTATGCCAGTTTTTTGTTAGTTTTTGTTAATACAAAAAAAAAGGAAAAATTTTAATTTACAACGGAATACACTTCTACTTTTATGACCACTGTTCAAATATTTGTAGACAAAAATAAACAAAGTTTGTATAGTGCAGAAAAGAATAGGCTATGTCAGGTTGACATTTATCAATAATAATTATATAAATAGACTTTTAGTAAATCTTATTTTTTTGGAAGAATACTCTCATTAGGTTTTATGTCGAATTCATATAGTTCAAAAGCTTGAACACACTTCTTGTTATTAAATAAATTATAAACTAGTCATATTCCTTAGTTAATATCCATTTGTCTATTAATTTTCTTTAAAGCTTTTTTTTTCTTAATTATTGAATAGGTTCTGACAGGTGACGTGGATAGAAATAAATAAAACAATGACATCGAACAGACGTCGCGACTAAATATATCAAAAAATATTTATTTAAGAAACAGATGAACTATTTCATAATATAAAATTTGAAGATTCTTTCGCATATAAATTCATAATAAAGAGAAAGTAAAAAAATATGATAATAAATAAATAAATAATATTTTTAAATAATAATATTCAAATGAGCAGAGAATCAGTGGAATAATATGTTCACATATTGTGTTAATTTTCAAAGCATTTGATTAAAACTGTTTCAATAAGAAATTAATTGTCTTGTATTTCATGTTAATCAACTTGAATAAATCAACATCTTTCTTTGAATTATTCATCCTTTTCAAATTAAATTGCACACATACCAAATAACAATAGTCCCATAGTGTGACAATGAATGTTACACATAAAATTGATTTATTCGTAGATTAAAGAAAAGATATAATCATATCGAAAGATTAACTGATTTCTTTTTCTATATAAACATGTTATTATTATTATTATTATCATTGTTTTATCTAGCGTCAAGGCCAAAAGCGGACGAAGCCTTCCGAGATATTGAATTCGTCCTCTCCAGGAGCGTATGGTTAATGGACCGAATACTAACGGATGAACTATGAAAAGCGGATTGTGTTTATTTCCTATTTTATTCAGGAACTAAAAACACAGTCTAAAGCCTATGTTTTCAGCTCGTTTGATAAAGAATATCTTATTATGGAAATCAATCAACTTTGTTTTTCGAAAAAGGATTTTGTTTTGTCAGTGCAAATTTCAAACTATTAAAATGTATTTTGTCTTTCAACTGCCAATGCCATGAAACACGAAAACAAAACCAATGAAAATTCTTAATATACAATTCATTGAACGTTTAAATATGTTGTTAGATTTCTTATAAAATGTTGTAGCTTTCACTGTAAATTATAGAATTTTAAGTGAAAGATTTTTCAAGAAAAAAAAATATAATAGACATCGACAATGCTTCGTTTCTTGTAATCGTATTTTCTTGCTTGTTTTCTTGTCAATTGAAAACTATTAAACTGTTCGGTTCTTCTCGTGTAACAATTGTATCATTCTATTCAACATAAAAATTCTACATATGATGATGTAATAATAAAATTTCATTTTCTCTCAATCAAAAATAAGAAACTAGATTCTTGAAAAGGGATTATATGATTATGAAGTTGAAAATTCTAAATCTATTCTAGCATTGCACTTGCTAAACATAGACATAAGTACATCAATAAATGTTTGCAAACAATATAAAATCACAGTTGTACAATTGAGTTACTGTTGACCTTTTCAGTTTGCCTTCGACAAGAAAAAACTTATCTTAAAAACAAACTTCCTCAATTTGTTGAACGAAAAAATTTTCTATCAAATGAGTTTAGAACAGCGTCTATAGACTGTGTTCAAATTTTTCGAACAAACAGGAAAGAAACACAATTGATTTTTAATGATCCACTTGTGTACTAGTCCTTTCCCAAGAAAATAGGTATTTTCTTTCTTAGAATTTCAAATAGTTTCTCCGGAAGAAAAACAAATCTGAATAAACCACTGGTGATCATTAAAAATCC